GGTGCTCACTGATGGTCGGCTGACTGTTGTGTCAACTGACCTCCTTGCTCAAAGTTAGTTTCTCTATACGACCTTTCCGCATATGTTGTTGTTATCCAATGGGCACACCCCTTTTGCTAGATGCTGATTCTTCATGCAATGTAAACTGGGCGGGGTCTATCGTGTGTGCACTCTTCTGATTGGCCAGCCATCATGTCAAATGATCTCTTCAAAACAAGTTATATGGTGTCATCATCCAGTGGTAACGCCCCACTCACAATACGATGATTTGTATTCAACATTTATTTACACAAAACTAGATCGTATAAATCTTGTGCAGTGTGAGCTGTGAAGAGGCTCTTAGCATTCATATCTCATGCCTGGGAATAGTCAAGGAGGATGTTGACTGCATAATTCATATAGGCCATATCAGAGAGACGTACGAGTGTCCATTATGAAGGATAGATCACTCAAACTCAAGTGTATGTAATGTAAGATGCATGGAAGGTGGTCATTATAGACAGTCGTATGACACATTCTTCTGCTACAATATATCCAGTCATTTCCTACTCTGACTGAATTCCTAACTATAAACCTGGGCCTAACACTAATCCTAATTCTAATCCTCATCCTAAACATTACCTAAAACTCTATTGCAACCCTAAACCTAACCATAACCCTTACCCTATACTTTGACGAAATAAAGCCTGGAGCAGTCGTCACTGGATCCTATGTTGGATCACCTTTTAGACAGGCCATGTTGTGAATCTGATCTGACATTTAGGCGAGTGACATTTGCTCCAGGCTACATTATTTAGTGGAAGATACTGGGTTTGGCTGTGATACATTTGGCTTAGCTTTAAAGTTTAGGATGAGAATTAGGTACGTTATCGGTCCAGGGTTTAATCCAGGAATTTGATGAGTGCTTGAAATAGATTGTGGAGCATTTGTCGCCAAAAATCTGGTAGAAAATCTTGCGGACAATTATATTTGAAAATTATCTACTTTAAATTAAGCCAATAAGCCATGAGGGTATGTTCAACACAGAGTGTACATCCTTTCAGCCCTAAGAAAGTTAAATGTGGTCATAAAGTTGTAGACTTCTTTTTTGCCTTTCTCTTGGTGAGAATTTTTTTCTTTCTTCTCTTTTGTAATAAAGTGGCTAGAGTTAGAACAGGACATACACTGTACACTACTGGTACATTAAAGCATGTACATAGGTACTCCTTGATCAAATGCACTCTTCATGCAAGGTCTTCTTAGTTAAGCATAGCTATTAAAGTGGTTTGTTTATAGGTAAACATATCATTGTTTGTCTTTTTTCATGATATGTGTTCTCCTGTTTGTTTCCTGCCTCCATTTTGGCAATGTATCATTATTATTGGCCTTAATATTCTACAGATTTCTCCTATGGGGGATTTTTTTTTCTTCACCATATTTAAAAAAATCTGTATATCATTTTGTTGTTCATCTAATTCTTTGGATTGTTTAAATGTCACATTCCCCCCTCCCCCCTAACAACAAAAACAGAAGGTCAGCAGCACCCTTAAATAGGGACCTTGCCCCGTGCTATTTACCCTATCTACTCTCAGAGCTAGCCCACAGAAGATGCATAGAGCTAGGTTCATCATGAAGTATGCAAATCACATCCTATTTATGGCGTGTTTAGGGCTCGCTGAGCAGGAAATTAAAATGCCTGCTGGCCACTTCACCACCTGGTCTCCCCCGAACGCTATCTCGTATAAGACGGTGAGGATCGAGAGAAGGAAGGATCGGATTCACCATCTTTTTGCCACCATACATTGTACATCTATATATGTTCCTCCATTCCCTTTTAGTCCTACATGGTTTTCAGTTTGCATTATGATTATCATTTTGCTTTGAAATTTTAAGAATTTACTGGTTATAGGGAGTGGTCACAATTGCCACTTTAGCCAACAAACATTGTACATGTACATGTATATGTTTCTCCATTCCCTTTTAGTCCTGCATGGTTTCCAGTCTGCACTATGATTATCATTTTACTTTAGTCATACTTTGATTTGAAATTGAATGAATTTCCTGGTTAGAGAAGTGGTCACAATTGCCACTTTTGCCATCATACATTGTGCATGTTCAGGATGCCATTATAGTCCTTGTTTTGTTAAAATATTCTAGTTAACCGGGGAGATATCAAATTTATGATATGGGTTGCCAATACATTATGTGTACATGTCCCTATATCCATTTGCTCCTGCGTTTTGAGAAGTCATTGAATTGTAAGTATATCATTGTGAACCTAATTTGTCCAACCTTGATTCATATATAAAAATGTGCAGGTGGTAGGATAGATCCGATTTGCGAACATTTTGCTGTTCTGGCCTGCATTCTGGCCTTTACCACTTACTCTGTGGTGTATGCAGTTCTAGCCCATAAAGTTACTTTAAATGCAATCTATGATAGATTGTAAAATATTAGAATGAAGCCTCTCTTTCTCTCTTTCTCTTATTTTCTCATTCTCTTTTTTAATACTCTCTATCTCTTTTCAGATTTTCTATTTCTCCCTCTTCATCCCATTCTCTCTCTCTTCCCCTCTTTAAAATCTAGGCCTGCTCTATCCATCCATCTCCCCAGTTCTCCACATATCATTACCCCTGCTTGCATGCTACATCTATTGCAAATAAAGGCAACTCCATGGAGTATGGTAGTTCAAGTATGATTACAATCACATGCCCGTGTGATGTATTTGCTCACCGGCGCATGTTACCTTCATACACGGTTAAGCCTATCCATCAAAGACAAGAAACTGTTTCTCTTCTTCTACCCTACATCCCAGGGCTTTCTATCTGTCCAGTCTAATTCTGATGTAGTGTTTTGTCTTAAGGCATTGTTCATTCTATTAAATCTACATGTCTTTGGACATCAAGTTCTGGCTATATCGACTGCATATGAAGTTACAAATGTGTATGCTAATCTTTAATGATATTCTCAAAGCTGTTTATATATATATATATATATATATATACATACATATGTCATATAAAGATTTGAAAGAAAAGAAATTATATACACAATAGAAACGAATTTATTTGTAAAGATGAATAAGTTTTTTAAAGCGTCAAAGTCCAACGTAATATATGACAAAGAGACTATGCAAAGGTCACAAATGTCATGTCCTCCGTTGGGAACCAGAAGGACGTTATAACTCATATATACATTTGCACAGAGGTACCACCTCTCTGAGTTTTGCCAGACAAAATGCAAAATGCACAACAATTGACTTTCCTTGCGTCTGTTTTTGTGAAAATCAGGTGTTTTTGCATGTGATCAAGAAAGAAATTGCTTCCTCTGTGGTGTGACAATTTGGTGATATTCGAGAGATTGCACGTGTATAATCTAGCAAGATCTACCTACCACCATGGTTGCATACCCTTGAGAGCACTTATTTACATGCGCATTCTCCGGTCTGAATGTTCTAACGAGACCGATGCGCATCCACCGTGTAACGTTCTCAGTGAAGACATCCAATTTGCCAAGTTGTGTGACTAACGTGTGCATTCATGTCCATGAGATGTGCATCGTCTGAAAGCCATAGCCATTTTTGCGGTTGTGGTATGCACTTCGGGGCGAATTTAGATTGGATTGTGGGTTGTGGTATTGAACATGAACATTGTATTTCTTTTCGCCATTGTGAGGATGATATTTCTGGGTACATTCATATGTTTTTTTTAGGACAATTATAATTTCCTTGGCATGTTGTTATGTCTTTGAATAGGCAGAAAACAAATGACAATACCATAATCCTACAGCAATGTATATATGATTGAGTAACTAACAGAAATGTACTGGTACTTGAACAAATGTCTACAATTTCATATTTTGGAGAAATGATATAGAAAATGAAAGATTTTTTCCAAATACATTAAGACTTAAAAATAATAAATCTGTAAATACTGCCTTTATATCTGCCATACAACAGAATTTCACAAGATTCTACAGGGAAACTTGCCTTTCGTGATTCATATCACAATATATGTTCAGATTCAGAAGGGCATACCTTACATAATTTTACAAAGCATTAAAGCCCTTCTGGCTCCAAACATATGATATATTGGTATCATATATCACTACAGATAGCTACTGTATCTATGATTCCAGGAAAACAAAGATGGTGCTGAAAAATATACATGACTTTTTTAGCATTGCCACACATCACACAGGCAGTACCGTTCCCTTGTGAATCACCAATTCGTGACTAATTTATTGCGCCGCAAGAAGAAGAGCATTCCAGCATCGTTAGCTCCCCTCCACTAATGAGGTATTGATGCCCTCGGCTGGTGTACCCCCCTCGCCCTGTGAAGGATTTACATGTGATTGATTTTCCCCTCCGAATACGTGACTTTATTGATTGAAGATTGACCTTACCCTTCAACATTCTCTTTTCCTTTCTTTTTTTGTTGTGTTACATGATTCCATTTTTCATCCTCGATCTCTTCAATGATTTGGCTAGATCTTTGTTTTCTGAATCACATTCTTTCATCTCTTTTTTTTCTCCCTACATTTTCAAATTTAGTTGATTGATTCTCTGTATTTCCTCTCTCTCTAGCTCTCTTGATAAAACTACCTTGATCAAACCTTTTCAGTTTTAATTTCTGTACATCTTTTAGTTCTGATTTTACTTTTTTTTCTCCTAGATCACTTTGTATTACATGAACATATACAATCATACCTGTCTATAGCAACCACCCAAGGGAAACACAAAAAGTGGTCTTTGTAGACAGGTTCCTTTAGTACATGTTTCAATGAGAAACCATTTTCAAGGGAAACAACAAATGTGGTCTTTGTAGACAGGTGGTCACTAAAGCAGGTTTGACTATATATTAATCTTGATGATCTCTCTCTATTTTTGTGAAACAATTAAATGTACAACTAATTGAATATATATTGAGTAATAATAACCATAATGAAAATAGATTTTAAAAAAGTGGTTTGCAAGGAATAACCATTTTGCCCTATCTCTCTCTCTCTTTCTCTGTTTTTAGAATTCAGACGACGTCCAAGGCCCAGAACGAAGCCGACTACCCAGCCTATGGTGTTACAGGCCCAGGCGCACAGGTCACATCTTCCATGAATGTAAGTACACTGTCAGATGGAGGGGTGGGGCAAGACCAACCTCACCCCCCCCTCTCTTTACCCCTTCCCTCCAGTAGAACATTGAGGCATGCCATTAAATACATATAAGAAAAGTATGCCCTCTTTTTTAAACTTAGACACAAAAGACCTGACAAATATGGCTTTGGGGAGATTTTTTGTTTGTTTTGTGGGGGTGGAAGGGGGCATGTCAGAAAACTTTTGCGCCCCTTCCCTTTTACAGAACCCTGGATCTGCACCTTTTTAAGTTTCAAACTATCACCTTTACTTTAATATATACTTGTTTACTCATTAAAGTTTAGTCAAATAGTTGCCATGATTGATTTAAGCATCATCAACTCCATGCATTTTAAGTAAACAAGTACACTTCACTAAAACTCAGTGCAAGTTAGATCTCATTGCAATCATTGAAGGAGAGTATAATTTACCCAATCCTGAGCATATGTTTAGTTTGAATAGATGCATTTGTTTTATTTCCTCTAAACATATATTAGAAGAATATCATACTCAATTACAATCATGTATTTAAGACTTCTGAAATCCATGAAGATAAAAAGAAAAATTATTTTTTCCAAGTCTCTGTCATTAAAGAGGAAAGGGGAATATATCTTGACCATTAATTTATGAAAAATCATTTTGTCAAAACATTTCTACTGTGTACAAAAATGAGTATATCAGGGACATTGATCGATCATCTAGAATGGATGGAGCATTTTTATCAATCTTGGGTGTTTTCTCAACGGAATACATATTTCATTCTGAAATTGTTTGTAGTGCAAATTGGAAAGGAATGCACTCCGCACCAGTCTGTTTTTACAAAAACAGTCATCATAACAAAACAAAAAAACTTACACCAGCTCATTAGAATGATGAAATCTTTCATGGACACTTGCTCAGGTAATGTCTGTTTCATCCTATTAAATTTGTTTTGGTTTTGTAATCCGGTGTTTCTTATAAGCAGTTTTTAAATGTTGAGAATTGGCATTTATTTTCATTATTATGTCATTTGGTTACCATGGACTACGTGTAGTTTACCATTTTCTTTGATTGCTGTTTTAAAGTTGTTTTTCTTTCTTTTTTCTTCTTGTTAGAATGGGGACAGAAAACTTGCCCAGAGTGCCCAGATGTATCACTACCAACATCAGAAACAACAGATGATCGCCATGGAGAAGTATGAATAACAGAAACTATGATTTTAATACCCATTTACATAAGGTGATAGATTATAATAGTGAGAGGAATTGGAAAAGAAAGGGATTGGAAATGTAGATTGTAGAGATTACAGAAATATCTGACAAAATGAGATCAGGAAGATAAAAAAAAAATGCTTCCGGTCTTGCTCATCCTAATTTATTGGATACTTCACATTTACCTTTCCTCGTCAATTATATATATATATATATTGTTTTCATCGTTGTTCTTATCATCATGTTTGACCTTTTGTTTTTATCCCTTTATTCATAGTTCATTTACCGGTATTTTCACTTACTCATTGAAATAAGGGGGTCATTTTTCAGATATTGCCAAAATGAAAGGGTCTCAGTTTCAAAGTTAATAACTTTGTTGATACTTTATTGGATTGTCAGCAAATGTTCATTGGCCTATTTCTCTCATTTTTCTGCCCTTACCAAAGCCAAATTGATGCCACAATAGGCTTCCTCTAGAAGCAATATAGTTATTGGTAGAATGAAGGAGGTGGCACATTCAGTAAAGTGTGTGCTGTCATTATTAATGTCAAACCAAAGTTCTTGGGTTTGAATCTATTCCAGGCAGAGGACAGAAGCCTGTGTTGTATTAACCCCACTCCATCCCTTGGATAGGATGTTAAATCGAGGCCCTCTTGTAAAGGAAAGTCACCATGTTTGCACATTAAGAACCCACTGCACTAAGGTACACATGCACATCCCAATCTGTTATACCAGAAGGATAGACTCAAGGGTCAAGTGAATTCATATCGCTTTTCCCCTCCCATAAACAGGTGATGCCAACTTCATAATAATAAAAAAACATTTTTGTACTAGAATACAAGCATTGTTCTACATATCTGATTTTATAATGTTTCATTCTTATGAACTCTCCCTCATTCAGGCGTGAGAAAGGAGATGTTGCACGGGATGCCTCAGATTACGATTCAGAAGAAGAGAATGAAGATGGCGACCTGACTGTCTACGAATGCCCTGGACTTGCTCCGGTAAGTGAACTTTGACCTCTTCTACCTCCATTACTCATTATGATTTTCTTCTATTTTCGAAATAAATAACATGTTCACGATTTCAGAATGGAAACGATAACAGAACACACAAAAACATATAGCTCTCAAAGATAGGATATTTTATCAACATCGCTCTTTTATTTTCTCATCATACTTTTAAAAAAAGATATTGGTGCAAAATAAAAGGGTAAAAAGTGGCGTGGGCATATGTGGCTAATTTGGCTGTCATCATACCAAACGTTTTTGTGAGAAACTGGTGCAATTAAAGCGTTTTTCAGACCAATTATCTGCAAATTGCAGTGTCATGACAGGAACTCAAGATTACCTTCCTTCTTTCCTTCTGGCCTTCATTCTGTCATTTCTCCTGTCATTTTTATATATAATATTGTTCATTGTCATTTTTGAGACGTCTTTAAAACAGAGCCTTGTTGTAAACCAGCCTATTTAAATGTTGTTAACAATGTTTCGTAATGATTATGTAGCTGAACATGATACTCTGTATAAAGATGAAAACAAAAAATTAAAAAATATTTAAACAAAATAAATAAAATTTAAAATTAAAAAAAAATTAAACATTTTTTTTTTTAAATCTAAATTGGGTACGTCTTCATTTTCTTTGTTCGTCTTCCAGACCGGTGAGATGCAGGTGAAGAACCCCCTCTTTGCGGAGGATGCTTACCCCAAGCAAGGAGGAGAGGCAGAAGGAGAAGAGAAGCAGTAATGATGAAGACATTGCTGAGGAACCAAGCCCAGATACACCATTGCAGTGGCATACCTACCTAGGGGGCAGGATCAGGGAGGGATGGGGTGGGGTAGGGGGGGGGGGGGCAAGGAGAGGGGTTGATCTTGGTGGTAAGCATCTTCCTCCTGTTTGGAAGTCACCGGAATTATAATTTCATTTCCAGATTAGAGCTGTAAGGGCATTATTCATGTTCTGTTTAATGATGTGACCTAATGCCATTTTGGTCTCGAGCAGGCAAAATTATGGTACTGTCCGACCTTACAGATATGTTAAGAATAAATATTTCACTTTTTTTTTTTCTTTCTTCCTTTTGTTGTTGTTGAGGGGGTGTGTGGGGCTGTGAGGTCCTCGCTTGACTCATGATGTTTTTAACTAAATTTTCGCTATGCCACTGCAAGTTAGATGTATCTGCCCAAAGTTCCTAGATAACATTGTGGGATCACTGGGTTATGTGCAATTTTGTTCCCATTCCATGCTCTTTAGTAAGCTGGATTGTCAAACATCACTATCAATTATTTGGTTTCATAATTTTTTATTAATTTTTTATGAAGATGGAAAGATATACCTCACACATTTTGATTGGTAAATTCTCCTGTATACTCCAGCTGTGGTTCTGTGGGGATTTATTTTGTAGACATAAGTGATCTTTACAGGTTTCTATCATCATTTTGTAATTTCAAGGTTTAGAATGGAATTATCTGAACAAGAAATCCACTGCAATTTGATGCATTTTCATTTGAACCCAGTTCTACAGATATGAAAATTAGAATTCAAGGTATTCCAAAATTATGAATATAGATTGCGCGGTTGATTTGGGAATATTAACATTTCTTGTTTATAATCTTTTAATTGTCATTGACTTTTGATAAAAAAGGGCATGTTTTGTATCAAGGGAATGTATTCATTAATCTATTTCCCTTCCTGTTTTTGACAATGATGACATAAAGTCCCTGTTAGGTTAAATTTAGAACAGAATTGAGAGGAAGAAGGGTTCAATTTTCTTAAATGACGCTTGAAAGAAATTATACTTCTAAGCCTTCGATTGCATCATGCCGTCTTGAAGGACTGCTCTCTAAGCATTTCCTGTTGTGGTACACCACACATTTGTATACGTACAAAGGTAGTAGCAACAACCACAAACTCTGTGCTCAAGTTGATGAGTTTCAAAGCAAAATTAGCCTCGTAAGTTGATCGGCCTACTTCTCACAATCAAGTCATGGCTAAGGAATTCTAGCAAGAGAGATGGTAGTGAAAAAGCACCATTGCCATTATCTGACAAGAGTGTTTACATTCTGTTAACCAATCGCTTACAAGAACCAGCTAATCTCTGTATTAAGCCTATGGGAATGGAGGAATTCAGTTGTCAATGAGTTAAATCTTAGTAGCATTACCTACTATCTTCCTGGGAGGCGGCTGGCAATGAGTTGGCAAAGGATTCAACACTGCCACATAGGCACTTCCAATGTTATCAATGTTACCTTGCGTTGGGTCCCTTACCATATACAAATTTAAGGTTGCCTGTTTAAAGTATCCAAAAAGGGGGTTATTTTGTTATATTCACATTTATTTGATAGAGACCTTTTAGGGGTCAAGAAAAGATATAGAAATAGTTGTTCAGATTTTTTGTTGATATCAGGGAAATAAATTAAGCAAACAAGCAATTCAGTAGACGTGTGATTAAAGTTTGTTTTTAGTAATAATGGACAAAATAGGCAAAATTCACAAAGGTTTGGAAAAATGAAAGTTCTTAAATTACACTGTATGCAGTTGATCTTTTCCTCTGGATCGTAGGAGGAAAGCAAAAGCGACATTCTCGTGCCATTTTTTGTGTTATGTTTCTTAGGTGCACTTGAGAAATTTGTGATCGTTTTAAAAATTGTGTTTTCCTGCACCACTGCATTTAATAGATGAAGTCTTCAAAGAATACCAAGTCGATTAGTGCTTCAAAAATTTAGGTGCCTCTGCATGCGTACCCTCTATAGGCTAAAGTTTTATTTTATGGTTTTGTTTTATCATTTGTCTTAGCCACCAGTATATGTGCAATGTATAAGTTCAGTGTTGAGGAGTATTTATTTATGTAGAATTATACAAACAATGGTATAATGCTTAATGTAGTTGTGGTCTATCGTTCGTTATACTTTAGCTTGTTTTTCGGTTACCAAATTTCAGATGGTTTGGTAAGGGTCTAAATTGAAGTTAGTGTGGAGAGGTGTACTTAGATAACCTCCTGTAATAAATATATCATTTAGCGTTCTGAAGCAAATTGACATGTGACAAGACACATAGTGTCAACCAATTCAGTGGTTGTGTGTCGAATATCGGTCAAATTAGTATGACTTGCAGAGAGGTACGGTATCCAACAAAATTGCTGTTTACACTTCAGTATTCCATTCGCTGCTGTCATCTTTTACAACCAAATTATACTCTATCTTGTCATGTACTTATCATACATGTATCATATATATATATATATATATATATATATATATATATTAACATCAGAAGTAATACAAAAGAAATACATTATTATCAGATGTAAAATACATAAATTACATGGAACAAGTTATTCTTGTAGAAGGCATTGCTTTTAGAAGCTGGTTGAGCTTTCTTAATTGTACTTAATTTCTAGTTCTCGCCAGCCTGTAGCTGCAACTGTCACCAACTATCATTCTGTGTCCGAGGAATGAAATGGTGAAGAAAATAGAGAGAAAATATGATGTAAATAAGATATATTTTGATTAGTATAGGATAATTTTTCTGATCAGTTTTATTCTTTCTCTTTCCTTCAAATGTTTTCCCTCTTCTCTCTATCTCTCTCTTTCTCTCTCACTCTCTCTTTCTCTCTCACTCTCTCTCTCTCTCTCTCTCTCTCTTCTTTTTGTCTCTGTCTATATCACACATCAATCAACAGATACTCACATACTGTCTTTTACTCACTCTCCACCCATCATCTTTATTTGTTTGTTTTATTTGTGTATCTGTGAACCTGTGTCCTCGTTCAATTTGTTCTGATCTGTTAGGAATAAACACCTAGCATGAACTATTTCTCTCTCTCTCTCTCTCTCTCTTTTCATTTTATCTGCCTTTTCAATATTCTCTCTCTCTCTCTCTCTCTCTCTCTTTCTCTCTCTTTCATTCCTTCTGTAAGCCCATAAATAAACCTATGTAAATTGATTATTTCATATAAAATAGACGTCGAGTTGTCATAAAAATTCAGACAAAATTTTAAGACACATAAATGCATCATTCAAACATATTGTAATGTGTATTTGAATGAATATTTTGAAATTACATTTCTTAGAATATACATGTAGATCCTTTTTCTGTGGACAGAGAAAAGATGACATATAAGAACACTATACCTGATTATATCCTAATTAACCTTTTATAATCTTCTTCTCTGTTTAAAAATAGAAATTCTGCTTTCTCCCTGTAACTTGTGTGGTTTTAAGCCCACTGCTTCAAGCTGTTGCTCATAGCTTGTTATACGAGTCAAGGATACTGAGGGATGTATTTTTGGCAACTTGTTTTTGTGAATTTTTCAATTTTCTGTGCTCATGGAGAAGCCAAATGCTGCATATAATTGTGTGCTTGATTTAACTGTGGGGCAGCAAAGATGGAGAAGAAAGTTGTTTAGCCATTGTACATGAATTCTCTATTCAACCTGGGTTACGGTTTTTGCATCAAAATATGTTGTTTATCCATAATAATGTGCAATGATTTGCAGAGCTGAGGCAAACCTATCTATGGTCATTGAGAAGTATCCGCTCTGTATTGTTTTCATTGGAATATGATGAGCTATGAGCGATGAATAATTTCAGTATCTGTTGAAAATGACTATCTGTTTTCATTCTTTTCATACTTTCTTTCTTTCAACTTATTTCTGTAAATACATCTTTGTGAATGTGAATAAATTATGGAGTGATTTATCTATAGTACTAAGATAATTGTGGACACAAAAAAAAATTATATTGTTGTAAATAGAAAACTAAAAGAAGGTATATTCAGTTTAGAAGCAAATACATTCTAACAGGCGGATGTCTAATCCAGGTCAAATGAGTATGGGATTATTGTTTTTTTAATTTTATTTATCTTGGATGAATGGAGTATATATATATCAATATCAAAATTATATATGAAAATTCAGAATTGTTTCCATAATGAAGTATTACAAATACTCCTTTTATTATTGACAATATATGTATCATGTTCCATAACTAGGCATGACATGAGGAATGGTATTGATAGATACAATACTGATTTCTCCCCCCTCCCCTGTACATTTCTGGTGTATTAATCATATAGTTATAAATCTCTTTGGTTTATTGTAATTCCGAATTCGGTTTTCTTCTTTTTTTTATTTGTGTGTGTATGAGTATGGTTATGGAGGACCATTCACCACATTTTATATAAGAAAAGAATACTCCTTCTTGACGACGTAGTTTTATATTCTTCATGTATTACGCTGATTTTCTTCATTCACATCTAAGATGTGAATAGTACAGACGCTAATCACAAGTAAAGATACGGGTTTCCAGGTATGCACGAACATTTTACTAAAGAATGATTACATGCTTTTATTGTTGAATCGCAAAAAGTGAGCCTTTTATTCATTTATTTATTTTGTTGTGCTTATTGGCTTCATGCTATGTTAAAAAAACCAAAGTGCTGTGTTTTCTTAAAACATATTTAGCTTAAAATATACTGTTTTTCCTTCATTTATCCACCTTATACACCATTTTATTCAAATTTGCTCTCATATAACCTTTAGTAATATCTGAAAGCGATCAGAGATACAGTTCCAATCTCTTATGTACTTTGCAAAGACAGCCTATTTTATTTTCATTCTCATTAATCTGTTACTTAAAATTCTGATAATAGTTCATTACCCATTTCTAAAAAGTCTAAAGCCATAATGACTTTTTTTGCCCTTAGTTTGCTCGTTTGTGTTAATTGAATCGTAATACACTCGTCAATGATTTCACTAAATCTGCAAACAATGTATTTATTTTTTTGTGAGTAAACAATTCGCATCCACCCTAGTATGTTTGAAAGTGCGTGTCAGAATTAAACTTAATGATCGTAGAGTACAATTTTGCTTTCTTTCAATTGTCTTTATTCGCTTTTAATTAATTGATTTATGTAGTGACCAACTGATGATCTATACTTGATTATAGTTGAATGTTTGGCTAATTATTCATTGATTTATTTGCTGATCGATTGATTGATTGATTTTGAATTAACTTGTTGATTATTTGATTGCTTAAGTGGTTGATTGATTGGCTGATTGATTGATTGTTACCTAACTTGTTGATTGACTGATTGCTTACATAATTGCTTGATCAATCGATTGACTGATTGATTAATTGATTGATTGATTGATTGTTTGGCTGATTGATTGATTGTTATCTAACTTGTTGATTGACTGATTGCTAAAGTAGTTGCTTGATCAATTGATTGATTGATTGATTGATTGATTAATGATTGATTGTTACCTTACTTGTTGATTGACTGATTGCTTAAGTGGTTGCTTGATCAATTGATTGATTGGTTGCTTGATCATTATTGATTGATTGATTGATTGATTAATGATTGATTGTTACCTTACTTGTTGATTGACTGATTGCTTAAGTGGTTGCTTGATCAATTGATTGATTGGTTGCTTGATCATTATTGATTGATTGATTGATTGATTGATTAATGATTGATTGTTACCTTACTTGTTGATTGACTGATTGCTTAAGTGGTTGCTTGATCATTTGATTGATTGGTTGCTTGATCATTATTGATTGATTGGTTGATTGATTGATTGTTACCTAACTTGTTGATTGACTGATTGCTTAAGTAGTTGCTTGATCAATTGATTGATTGACTGATTGTTAATTAACTTGTTGATTGACCCAAGTGAATAACTCAATGAAGTTAGTAAGAAATAACATGATTATTCTAGTTTGAAGGGGAAATGCAGCCTTGTTCACGCAATAAAGGAAGGTTAGCAAGATGCACATAAATAAATGTAATCAGTGTTTTAAAATAATAATCCAAAAGATATTTGATATAGCGCCTTTTCCTTGCAGTTACAAAGCGCTGCACACACGCTCCACAATGTTTGGGCCACTTAAAAACAAAAGTTAGACACGTCTCAGAGATCAGTCAAGTATAATATGTAGGCTGTCGATTTAGTAATTTCTAGCAGAATAGATATGACTGGAGTAGTTTCTTGAACTGGTCAACAGCTCTTATTCTTTAATTTAAATTTTCCATATCCGAGAAAATGTGTGCTGCTTTACATTAATGCGACTGAAACACACACATAAATTAAATGTTCATGTATTTAAATTCACTAGCAAACAAGCTGACTACAAAATCTACTGACTAAGTTATGCAGTGACTTACATACTGACTGACTATCAAACGCTTATTCATTTACTGACCAACTGACATTAACACCGACACAGTTATTCATATTAGATGTATTGTCTAATTGACTAATGTACAAACTTGCAAACTAATTTACTATTGTATTCCTTGACGGTATTATTACTCACATCACAAACTATCAAACATTTAATGAAGATATCCTGATATATTTATATACAAATCAATCTTTGTTAATACAAGTTAAATAGAATAATTTGAAATAAAATTTATGTGTGTTCTATTGTTACTTAAACTTCATAAGATTGTGGCAGCGATATTGGTTGTTTCTCAATAAACATTTTTAATTCAATTCAGTAATATTGCTCTCAACTCTAACATTCATAAAAGAATGCTAATCTCAATATGAGAAATACTTATTGGAGCCAAATGAGAAATGCCTTTTTGGAGCCAAAAGCAAATGTGCGTTTTGAAGATATCGCATAATAATATTGATAATTATGTTTAAAGTATAACATTGAACATCAAAGAAATCAACTCTAACATTCATAAAAGAATGCTAATCTCAATATGAGAAATACTTATTGGAGCCAAATGAGAAATGCCTATTTGGAGCCAAAAGCAAATGTGCGTTTTGAAGATATCGCATAATAATATTGATAATTATGTTTAAAGTATAACATTGAACATCAAAGAAATTAAATAAAACGTTCTGAAGACAAAGAATGTTATGAGAAGGAACAAAACACAAACGCAAGGAGCCTCAAATTATTGGCTGAAGAGTAGTATTAAGGTACAAACGTATTGTCTGCATAAAACATGTTCTGCCTTCATTGATGCGTTCGCACAATAAACAAAGCCACTAAAATTGCCTGATGTTGATTTTCCTTTTGTTCGATGTGAAAGTCTTAATTTGTTTCTTCATTTATTAACATTTATAGGCAAAGTTAGAACACAGGTTGGCTGGCCTATAGTGAACAGAGGCGATTCTAGAAGATTTTTTTTTTAGGGAGGGGGGGGGGGGGGGGGGGGGTAGAGCATAAGGTCGCCTCGGGAGTTCTTGCATCAATTTTCTACATTGGCTTAAGCTCCCCCCCACCCCCACCCCCCCCCCCCCCCCCAAAAAAAAAAAATAAAAAAAAAAAAAAAATAAAATAAATAAATAAATAAATTAAAAAAATCCAAAAATAAAAAAATAAAAAAATCCATAGAACCGCCACTTTTTGCAAACGGCTCCTCCTTTTAAATTTGTAACGGCCATCATATGTATTTTGGTTAGCAATGTTTTTTTTACTGGTAAGTCGGGACTAGCTGTGTCGTGAAATTATCATTTGATCGGAACATCTTTGTTCCACGGAAAGGAATGCAGCCCAGTTATGTATTCAATTCTCACGTATTTGAGAGTTTTCACTTGCCTTTGCTCTATGAATATTCACTTCAAATTTAAAAGCAAAAAATGAAGGAGATCCATTTTTGTTTCTCTATGTTTATAGTACTTGGCTTGACTATATATAAAGAGGATTTTAGTAGAAACTGGAATGTAGTGGAATACTTTGTTTCAGGCTTGTTGTACGCTTAGATTTCACTATCGTTGAGAATCTGTTTTGAACTGTCGCTGGGCGTACTCTTTCTTCTCTCAGACGCTGCTTTGTCCACATTGGTACTTTTCTTTTCTGTGGCACCCTCAACGTTTGTGCCTCTGCAGCGTTTCATCTTCGTTTGCCACAGCCGAAGAACCTGGATATGAAGAAAATAGACAGACGAGAATAGTAAGCATTCTTATCAAGTGGGAATGTCGTGGTCGAGCGGTTTAAGGCGCTTGACTGGAGATGTGAAGGTCGAAGGTTTGAATCTCGACACGGCACTGATATCCTTTGGCAAGATATTAACCTACACTTGCTACTCTCTACCCAGGTGTTAAAATGTGTACCCGGTAGGATGCGACCGTCATTAAAATGAAATATATTCAAAAGCAGAAATTCAAGTATTTTAGACTTTTCATAAATTCCACATCAAGAACATGAAATTTTCTTGAAAATATAAAATATGAATGATTTGAATCAACATTTTATGCCTTTTAAAATAACTTTTATAAAATGTTTTCAAAGATGCTAACAGCTTCCATAACTGTTAAGTCCCACTTAGAGATAAGTTCAACTTAAGATCTTTTTCAAACACCCCCTGGTCTTCTCAAAGTGTTTTTATACACTTAAATCTTTTTAGGGCAGACTATGGAGAGATTTGAAGCTGCCAGAAGAAGAAAAAAAACGAGCAATGCCGAATATTTTGGTGATGACGAAGTGAGGAGACGATGATTCACCTACCTTCTGATTTCCAACAATGGAGAGTGAGACACCGAGTCCAGACAAGGAGTTGACGACGTTGAAAATGTACCAGATGATTTGATTGCCTGCCATAGCAGCGACCAAACCAAGGGCCCATGTGATTCCCAACGTGAATGAGAGCTGCAACAACAAAATACAAAAACTGTCTTATAACTATATTTCACTATAATGTACACTTCAGGTCAATCGCCAAAAGTGTTGATTTGGTAAGCCTAACGAAACACTGTGTTTCGAGAGTCACTACGTGTCTATTCAATGTTATGTTCTCATCGACGTAGAAAATGAGATCAGGAAACGTGAGATAGTTGCAAAGTTTGCTTAAAATCATGAACAAGGGCCTATACCGTGTTTACTGCTACATCATCATCTGTTGAACTATTTCTTTAAAAAAAAACCTTTGAATAAAAATGAGAAAACTGGAAAGGTGCTCATGGACGTTATTTACGTAATCATTGTGAGGCTATGAGGAGATTGTGCACACAGTGTGTGCGGGCAAGCACTGAATCCAATGACCGGGGTAATAGTATATTTGTAAAGCGCTTAGAGACATTTGTATTAAGCGCTATATAAAAACTAAATATTATTATTATGCACCGACGGTGCATTCATGATACACAGGAGGATATAGTCTTTCCAGAATAGAAAACAAAATTCTTATGAAGCATCTTCATCATTTAGGAGTATGTTCAAAACCTCTGAGAATATTTGGGATCGTCTGTATATGCTATAAACTACGAGCAGGTTTATCTTACCTTTATAGCAAGCCAGGCGATTGCTCTGGGCTGGATGTTGATGGATGATTCTGTTACATTGTCCATTCCATCCTTGGTCTTGCTGATACTAACCAGAACCACGATAAAGAGCGCCGTGTTGACAACCATGAAGAAGGTGAAAGGTAGTAGAAATAGAGTTATAATGGGCTGACCGGCAATGAGCCAACAGGTACCCACAGTATTGTAGATCCTTCGCTCCGACAAGAAATGTATGAGGACACCGATAGTGACGATGATGGCGGGGGAAAACCATGCGTACAAGGAGTAGATTATGAATTGGACGTTGCCCTTGATCCTGAAGACCATCCTTTTGGAGTTGACGCGGAATGTCCGGGTCATGTCTATGGCAAGAGCGTTGGCCCAGAAAAACACACTGAGCCAAATATAGTGAAGGGAAACACCGAACAACAAGCAGAGCCATTCGGACGATGACGGGTAACTTATCAACAGAAAGATGTTTGCCAGCAGAAGCGAGATGCTCAAGCAAGATATGATTTTGCCAGGTAGGTTCTGGAGTTCTGGAAAGGTACACATGGTGACTAATGTGGCTAGTAATGAGATGATGGATATGGCGTTACCAACAAGCGTCACGTACGTCTGACTGTTGAGGATGTGGCCTTTGAGTTTGTTCGTGATATTTTGATTACCAAACATATCCTCACATACCCGGACAAATCCATTCCCATCTAGTGAGAACATATCGGATGGAATGACTATGCCACTCGCTTTATGTAGAAGTGTACCGTTGAGTACATTATCCCAGTCAAACTCCGAGGAATTAAAAGAAATCTGCCTGCACATCAATGGGCTACTGCAACAATGGAGATTAAATCTTGACCATTCCTTGTTGTTATCCGTGTAGATGGTCAATTTCTTGGGCTGATACTCATTAAACATGTCTTCGTTTAGTAATAATTCGTCGTACTCATCGTCCGAATAGTCGGTGGTGTCTTTCGCCCATAAGACTCGAAGGAACACATCTCCTTGAGACTCGGTGCATATATCAGTATGAACGGACAGCGATTCGTAGGTTTTCCATTCGACAGAAAGTACCGACATTGTTATACCGCTGTCGTAAGCCAGAAGTCGTACTGCCCGTCGAATCGCAGATGGCATATTGGTAAAGTTTGATGTGTTGTCGGTCAGGTGTAGCTCGAAGACAATGCTTTGGGTATGGAGGGTAGAGTTTCTAGTCGATGAAGACACTGTCTTTAGATTCTTGATGTTGACATCAAGTTTCTCGCTTTTCAGAGTAACGCGAAATGTGACCATTATGAGGTTGAGCGCCGACTCATGATTAGAAACAGCTCGGATTTTGAGCCAGGATGTTCTTTGCCGGTACTTGTCCGTTTCTTGCAATTTTTCTTCGTATTTCTGTTTCCAGAATGAGCTATTCGTTGAGCATTGGTCAAAAGTAAGATTACTTGTTTTGAGGTCTTTCACACAGACCCCATTGATGACAAATGTGTTGCTCGGGCAGTAAATCGCCCGGCATTCTTTGAGAAATGGATCTAACCACTCATTGATGTCACAAGACGACGAATTCGAGGACCTTACAAAGCCGTTGGCTGAGGTCGTGAGTAGGGCTCCATCTTTCATAGAAAATGTGAATAACATCGGTAGAGAAAATGGTCTACTATTTCGATCTCGTATCTCGTTTTCAAAGGAGCACGTTATGTTGGTCGATGTACCATTGAATTCTTCGTTACAGAACGCTGAGTGGACATTCTTGTACCAATTTCCATGAACAATTACAGGATAGCTATACGTGTCCCTTAATTGTTGACAAGTATTTTGTGCTGATCCGCGACTGCACCTGCACCTATCCTCGGATCCCTGCTCCTGTGTACATGATCGAGGCATCTGTGTACCCGGAGCCAGGTTTGGCAAGATATCGTAGTCACAGAGTTTCATCATGATACCTACCGTATCTAACACATCTCCTTGGTAGTGATTTGTCTGAATCCTGTTAGATCCACAGTCGAAGCCTATTTTCCAGAAGTAGATGTCTTTGTATTGTATACCACTACAAAAGGCACAATAGATGTTCCGGTAGTGCGTATCATTGGTCACTGCCACAGGGAGTGACGCTAACAAATCCAAGGTAGAGGTAGGCATTTGGCACTGCTGCTCCAGTTGACTTCCGGAGTAGGCTGAATCCATGCACTTTTTCACGAATACGAAGTGTTTATAATTTCCTACCTTAACACAGGCCCTGTCGCCTAAATGCATGTGGGATCTCCTTAAAGACAGGTCGAAGTCTGGATAGTTAGCGACGATGACACTCGGCGGGATCAAGAAATTGTCCCCGATGGATGACGCAGCTCTGTTGCCTTCGTCCTCCTGACTCACAGAGGACGACAGACTAGTATCAGGTACAGGCAAAGACGAAGCCACCATCCTCGTGTGATGGCGAATCGCTAGAGGGATGCAGAGGTGTTCGTAATCAAGACAGCAGTCGCCGAGAATAAGGCACTCGTGGTCACACTGGCAACTTCGAGAGTTGGGCAGCGACGAACCGCAACGGTTGGTGCATGAAAAGCTTTCACTTTCACAAGAGCCGTTCATGCACATGGTAAAGAGTTCTTCAAGACCGGAATCTTCATCTGGAAGTCACAAAAAAGAGAAAAGAAAGAATACTGCATTTTGTGACTACATCTACATGATACATGTCAGTTATGGGACAGTTACAGATTAATAAGTGAGAAGGCAACTAACTGCAACGCTCTTCAGTGGAATGGGGAGTGTGCTGGCCGTAAAGTGCAGAATCGTCACTGAATTTAGTGACTGGGGTATTAATTATGTTAGCGCTTTGGTCGGTTTACGTTTTAACTGGTAAGACGCTAAGAAACATATTGAAATGTATATCTCTATTATTTAGTCATTTAGAATATAAACTATTTTGACTAAATTATGTTCGCACCCTTCTGCTATACATAAAATAATAACTATCTTCTCAAATTTTGATGGAAAAAAAACCCTCGGCGGTCGTGTTCATGAAGATAATGTAGCTCAAGAAAATGTGTTGGTTGACATTGCGAAAAACCTCGAAACGTTTTTTTCAAGTAAACCTATAAATCACAATGATTTAATGGCTTGAAACGTTAACTCCTCTTTTCAAATGAGATATGCCTAAATTAAACTCAGAAATAAATTTTGGCATTCAATTTTTGCACTGCATCCAGTGATTTGAATTAATGGTTTTCAACTGATCACATGGCTTATTTTGTTTCCCTTTCATTAGTTCCCTTTAAAGGCCGGCTGTACTAGTTTGGTCAGGGGGGATTAGACCACACAGCGTGGTCAATGACAGGTGGCTATCTCATCAACTCAGCTCTCAATTAACATAAGAAAAGGATGATCATGGGGGACCAATGGTTACCAATTATGCTTTGTTTTATATATAGAGGGAGCAAGTAGCTACAAGTAGGACAGTGTAGGAAACTGTTTTAAAAATTGGAAATACCGTGAATACACAATGCTTCTTTGTTCGGAAAATAACCTTAATCCTAGGCCTTGATACATCTAAAAAGGGTTAAATGTACAAAGATATGTTACTCAATAAATATAGAATGAAATAATTATTTGTCATTTGAATTGACAATTGAAGAAAAGAAAAAAAAGCTTTGTGAGTTCCGTCATGTTCTACATTCAATTGGTGAATGCACGTAGCGCCCGATAGCAAAGAGTCTGAAAAGGTAATCAACCTCAAGCAAATTTCAATAGCTTTGTGCAAACATCACTACGATGCATGTATATAACATAGCCACAATGTGATGTGTCGAGGCATTTATTTGGGGTATTGAATTGAGTTTGTTTCTCGAAAGTCTTTCTGATTGTATAGTTGGAAAATATGAAATCCGGCATGCAACCCACCGTTATGAGTATCCGACTTTTTGAAAATGTTCCCATCGGTAGTAGCCATATTTCTCAACATAGGGCCATACAAAATCTGATGTAGGCCTTGGAGACCCTTGTAAACTGTCATGGCTGTTGTAGAAAGCAGTTATAAACTGACCATGTTTTCACTGAATAAATAAAACAAAGTTATGATCAATCTTGTTCAATTAAATTCACTTCAATTACGGGTTGATTATATGGTATATGAACTAACTGGATAAGGATTCGTGGACATCCCTTTATAACAAAATAAATATGGTTGTATTCACGCAGGGTCGCCTCATAAAGCTGTTCTTTCTAAGGACCTGCTATCATGTTTATAGAAAGAAACATGATTAGAGATAAATTTCTCTCATCACAGAAAAAAATGAAAGTATCTTACCCAACACATATGCGTCGACGTGAAGGTGAGCAGACAAAAAGCCGAGAAGAACAAACAATAACTGATGAGTCTTCATCATGATGAACATCCCAAAATGACGGAGACAATAATTTCATGAGAAGATATCACATCAAAATCATCATTTCAAAAGCGATTGTTCAGAGAATGTATTATATGAGGCAACAATCTTATTCCTCGTCTATCTCTGTTTGTTTTTTCTTCCCTGTTTTCGATTCCACGTTAGCTCTCGTATTTTTTCTGACACATCTAACGTATCGAACTTGTGCCTTCATCATTTCGAAGCTTTACAGAAGATTCCAGTCTCCAGTGGAGAGACTGATAGTTTCTTGGAGTCTTGTGAAAGACGGACACGCCCTAATGCCATAGTTACAAAGACTGCACTACATGATTAGTAACGTCAAAACACCAACGTCAATGCGGATTGTACTACATTGGAAGAAGAAATCAAAGAAGTACTCGCGCCCGGGACTCGCGCGCTTCAATCTTAATATCTGTTTTATTTGTTCGCAACAAAGAATACGATTGGTCAACAAGCACATCGTGTGTGCCCAATCACGAATCATAATTATTCAACCCGTTATAGTTAGAAGCGATAGCGTTCGCGTTGATTATCCATAATGAGATCAGAATATGGAATATACTCGAATGCACTAATACCATGTTTAAGAGAATTAAATATCTGACTTATAGTCTTCTATTCCTCATTACGGAATACATATGAAAAGCCTATTAATCAAATTACAATTTTTCAATTGTCACAACATCAAATACGCTACGCCTACGGGTTTATACCGTGTTTATATTTTCCTTTTATTTTTGTTACTTAAGTCAAGAAAAAGAAACTCAAATAATTATTTAAATGTTGATAATGATAATAATGATAACAATGATAATAATACACTAATACTGATAACCATATTGATAATAATTCGTTACGGAATTTGTGATTCCTACATACATGTTTGACGTAAATCCTTTTCAATACACAGTATTCATATATCTCAAGTACATAACATAACGCATGTTTAATACATGTAACTACACTGTTGGTCATAATGATGGAATAATTATTTTTACCCCAATTTATTGAATGATTTTGATAATGATTTATTCCTAATAGATCTAGATAATAGTATACATGCTCAGATTTTATTGAATGACAGTTAGTGAGTGTTTGTTTTGGGTGACTGCTAAAGCATGTGTTGCTACTATGCTAATCAACTAGGGGACATACGTCCTTAAGTCATAACTGACAGTAATGGGGATTAATGCCTCATAAAAGGGCACTAAACCTGGTTTGTAAAAGCGCGTCATATGACGCACAAAAACCAAGGTTTGTCGACAAACCTCCTTTGTGAATTCGGTCCATGCTTGAAGTCTGTTTATTAATGGCTCTGATACTCTATGTCAAATACTGCCCTCTACCCTGGAGGCTTAAGTGGCTTTTCAATAGGCTTTAATAAAGTTATTTGTGAGTCTAAAAAATAATCATATTAATATGTAAGTAAAGCGCTGAATGAAAGCGCGGATGTGTGTGTGTGTGTGGGGGGGGGGGGGGAATCTCGTACTCAATTTCAAGGAAAACAAAGAAAACAGACTCACAAGCAGGCTAGCCCGTCAAAGCTTGGAATTTGTCATAATTGTTATATTGTGTTAAAAGTTGGAGAGTACTCCTTTGCAGACCATAGCAAACGACGAGTCACGCTAATACCCCAAGGAACACCGACAGCCAAACACCTGAGTGACAAAAGACCAAACATTACTACACATATCCAGGACTTTAATCAACTACCTGGAGACAGTTTTGAGGTATGACCGGGGCAATAACGCATGTTTATATATGTCAGTCACATCTACAAGATCGACACCAAACCGAAGCCAGACCGATCACAAAATAACATTACCACGAATAACCAAGAATCGGTCGGTATAGATTCAGTGTGAGGTTGGTTCTTTGGTGTGAAAGGGGTATTATTGGTAACAACTCAAATACAATTATTAAAGCGATTCATAGTGCATTCATTAAGTTACATCAACTTAATGAACTCGAAAACTAGTGCACTAACTTAAGCAAGGGTATATGTGCATGAGATTTTTAGCTATTGCTGGTAAATTCTTTTTTTTTTTTTCATCTTAAAGTTACCATTCAGCTTTTTGGAACACAATCTTGTCGAAAGAAAATAGCATAACAATGGGCAATAAGGTCATGGGAACAAGATTTTAAGCCTTGCTTAATCCATTGCTTTAGTTATAATGTTATCTGATATTGAAATTATTCGTATGATGGGTATAATTAATGTTGATATTCAATGAAAATCAACATTTAGCTTCCCTCTTTCCCTCTGATTATTGACAAATGTTCATGGATACATTGTCAAACAATTATTCAAAGCAAACGACACAACATTTTAGTTTCTCCCTTTACATTTTTTAAATACTAATCTTTGATTGTTGAAAAAAATATTTAGGATATAGGCCTATCGTCAGGCAAACAATGGCAAGCAGCCAAAATGATAAATTCCGTTACTTCTCAGCTATTTAACAATGTGATATAAACCTCTAGTGCAATTTGATATTCCATGCATAGCTTATAATCACTTCAGTGGCGTAGTTTTTTGGGGGAGGGGGCGAGAACCCCGAATAAATGGTTAAAAATCCCAGAAAGAGTCAAGAAAAGAAAAAACAGGGAGAGAGTTAAATGAATCGAAAAATAAGACGCGCGCTTTGACACCCCCTTATAGTTATACCCTCCCTTAATTAATTACCTCGCTAATTTTCATTCATATATTCAACCCTAATTAAGGATGATTCCCCGCCCCCCGCAAATTTTGGGACGCACATGTACATCAAAACTGTCATTTCTATGATGGACATACGACTCTAAAGTCAGACTACGTCTTGTCTTTGCATGAACTTAACCCTGGTTTATAAGGAACCAAATCGTCATAAATGTTCAAGAATACGGAAATGAAAGGAATATTCCCCACGGCGGTTTACTTCCGTGTTGCCCTCGCGAAGCAGACGACACACAGCATGGTGTAAAGCTATCGATAGGCAGGGTGCACGGACAAGGCTACATGCACACAAATCATACACACACAAACCACACACACACACACACTTAATATACTTGTCAATGAACGCTTTGGAGCATATCAGGGCCATCATCATATTCTGTTACACATCCAGGCGGGATAAGAATATCGCAAAGTGGTGGTGGCGAGAAAAGAGAGACACACCAAAAAGAAGAAGGACGGATGTCGCCGAAATAGCGCATTGTAATTACACATCGCGTATAAGTGGTGGAAAAGGGGAAGTGCCAGAGTGTATATGCAAACCAAGCACAGTTGTATAGTAGACAGAAACGCACGTGCTGGTGTACTGGAGTGTCAACAAAGAGGGGGAAAACCGGGATTTCGGCGGAGAATCGAGAAATAACTGAGAAAAAATCATTCTGAGTATTGCATTTGAGGAACAAGGAAGCGATTCAAAATGCCTCGTACAACTTTTGATCGTTCGAACGTGCAAGGTAAGTAAAACAGTGTATTAATTTTGTTCTCAGCGTAACATTAATTAAGTATCAAATTTGCGCGGTTTTCGTGATAATTTTTGAACGATATAGCATTATGGTATTATGAGCAGGTGGAGGGTCAATAGTGGGCTAATGTAAGGGGCCATGACTCCAGATAGTCGTGTGTGTAAACGAGGTCTAAATATGAATAAATATATAAATATACATCTTTGAGAGAATTGCTTATCGTGTATGTAAAGGATGATCGCAATTTGCCACCTGATTCGTACGATCTATCAGATGGCGCAAAAGCAACATTAATCGTAAAAACATCCTTATTTGATGAAGATCCGTACGGCAGATGAATTACTCGGTAATGAGGTTTCGCACTTCTCCAATGTACATCTTCACGTGTCAAATTAGATTATTCTGAACCTGTACCACATCATTTGTGTGTATGTGTGTAATTTGATTATTAAACTTAAATTAAATATATATATTTCATTCATTAAGAACACTCCATTGTTTACAGCCCCAACAAATGTTTCTTTTTTCCTTATTGCGACCTCAATGACGTGAATTAGCTGATTGGAATAAACGATTGCGTAGGCCCGTACAGTGCCTTCGGCAAATCTAATCGCACTAATTCTAATTTCTGTTATAAGCATTTCAAATTTCTAATCCTTTTCACTTTGATGACTGCATAGTTTTCTTTACCACTGTCTACGTGTACTTTCGTTTGATGTTATGACCCTGGAAATTAAATAATAGATTTTTGTTCCCCTTTCTTTAGGAATTCAAAATAAGCTCATGACTGAGCTATGAGGCTTAGGTTTGATGGAGTGTTTACCGAGATACATTAAGGACTTTTAGATTTGCACAACGACAATGTGGATTGCTACGATCGATGTTCTTTTAATGTACTGCCTTGAATGGACATCACACCTCACACGTATCAGTCCACGCAAATCTAAAAGTCCCTATTATCGGGAACAACTCAACATGTGTAAAGACTGCATGCCTCTTGAAGTTCAAATCTTGTTGAGGCCTCTGACACCGTTTTGTAAATTTAGAGGTCACCGTGAGTGTCACGTCTGTCCGTTTGAGGACGGTTGGCACTAAGTAGACATGGTAGGGAATAGGAAATAGTGGGCTGGAAAAGGGTACTTTTTATAAAAAGTTTGGAAACTGAATATTTTACTATCATGCATATTCTTGTTAACTTCTAACTTAATAAGACCTACAGTTACATCATATTGCAACTATCACAAAGTTCGATCTTGTTGAAAATACAACTTCATCAGATCCATAGCATGATTTGAAAAGGAGGCCATAATGTTACCTTAATAACATATACAGGCTATTCGTACTCCATTTTTTTTTTTTATGTCGTATTAAAACACGAATACCCTCATCTTATTGATGGTAACTTAACCTTGATATAAGGCCTATACTGCTGGCTACAGTCGCTACATCATATTAAAACAATACAAATATCAGTCTTATGAATCCCATCGATTACCATGATTTGAAGAATAAATTATTTATAGGCTACCTTATGAGCATACAGGCTGGTCGTACTCCAATTTCTTTTATGTCGTGTTTGCATGAATACCCGCATCTTTCAATATCTGGAGTCATGTGTCACGATTTTTAGACTCTATACAAGTAGGGTTGATGTTTGAGCTGACCCCGAAATGTTATTGTATCAACAGATCAATTATCTCATGATAAGAATCGGAGAATAAACATCAGCGAAAATAGAATCCGATGACAGGGCACGTTATCGAATTGTTTAATATCTGGTACCATGCTGCTCCCCCTTCCACCGCCTCCCCCACCGAGCACGCCTGTCTCGTGAGATGTAAAAACAAACACTAAATTCTTGATATATGTATGTAACTGTTTGAAGTGGAATACCGTCTCAAAATATGACTTATGACTCAAAATATACACTAAGACCGCATTTTCTGTTAACTGTAGAATATCACAACAACCATATGATTCTTGTGATTTTCGAGCGATGATGGACATGTAAAAATAAACATGATTTCACGCGCATTGAAAACTGTGCAATGGGTAAGGGGTGTACAGATTGAGTAAAGGTTATATGACTTCGTTATGATAGTCAAGTCTATTGCTTTAAAGTGGAAATGTAAAAATAAACACCATTTTCACCCAATGATGCCTGTGCAACAGGAAAGGATGTCAATTTATGGGTTATGTATTATTTTCTGCACCCTTCTTATGCGATACACACACTGACAAAGTAACGAATATCTAGATTACGTTTGGTATTTAAGTTCTGTTTCTGGAAATGTAAAAACAGTTTTCACGAAACATTCGAAGGGTGGGTGAGGTGTCTATTTATAAATGTATTCATATATGGCCTCCACTTTCCTTGATAGAAAGAACATCGTGACAAAGAGACGACCATAAATTTCTGAAGATGTGCTTGTTATGTTGCACGAAATGTAAAATGAAAAAAGAGAACATTGCTGGCAAGATATGAAAAGTTTGCAGTGTTGACGGGGTGTCTATTTCCAAGTGCCTTCAAATAACCCGCACCTTTCTCGATTTTGTCCTCATTTAGAACTCCAAACTAACGACCATGAATTCGTTATGATATTCATCGTGTATTGTATGCCTTTGGGTTTGGATAATCAAAGTCATATACTAACCCGTTTGTTTCATTCCTTGCAAATGTTCTCATTTCCCTTCCTGTAAAGTGTAATGATAAAACACAAGGTCTATATACAGCTCGTCTGCTGCATTCTTAAGTTGATTTCGAACAATATCGTATCGATTTTCGCGCCATTTCGTCCTCCAAACTTGCGAATGATTGTGATACAAAAACACAAGCGAGAGCTTGCACAATACAACAGCAGATTCGAAACCCTAAATTTACCTTCAACCTGATACAGTGTAGTCTTCTAGGTGGTGTATGAAAACAAGAGGACTAAAAAATGTTACACCAAGGAAACTGGTTACACTTAGGTGTCGCGTGATTTCGAACACTTTTTGTCGAATGTTAGATATTACTTCTTAATCAAAACGATCTTTACATTAATGGAAAAGAATTGTCCTTTGCTATCTGTGGTCATAATGCACCACATTTTAAGTCAGGCTTGTTTAAATTGATAAATTTAGATAACGTTTGCCAAGCCCACACCAGTATGTGCATGCGTATGATATTGTGGAGGGCAGTTTATCATAATCATTATCTAATTAGCCTCTCAAAAACTCGAACTTTGTTATCGCATCTTGTCCATGAATCTGTAACGATAAATCTGGCTAAATTCAATTGTCATGCTCATTTCGGTTTATGATGTAAAATTATCTCGAAAATTGAATTGTGTACATAGCCTACTTGTGATCAAGAATACAACAAACATTACAAATGTAAACATCATACAGTACTCCCGTGAGTACGTTCAACTGCAGCCGCCCTCAGAGGCGTAGAGTAAGTGTATTGAGGGGGGGGGGGGCTCTTGTATTATTAGGGCACTGATCTTATTAGGTGGATAAACCGCCATATTTTTTATGGGGAGGGTTTGAGTGCTATTGTTTCCTGTTCCTTTCCCCCTTTCATTCTTTCTAGTGTCATTTATAATTGTGTTTCCTTTCTTTTTCGCCATGCAAATGCGGGCATATACCCGTAGCTATAGCTACACCACTAGTGCTTATTAAATGTCCCGAAAACTTTATATCTGTAAAATACACCCTGTTTGGGCAAGGCATAGATAAACCTATGAGTTAATTATCCTTTGAAATTCTTCAGCAGAATAGTCCCACGTGTGTAAAATGATGAGGTATTATAGAGTGGGTTGGGGATTACACAGGCGTTTTTGTATCGTGTGATATTAGTCTAGCTGGAGATACAGTACATGGCATAGTCCGTTTATGATACTAATGAAGCGAAACTAACTGGATTTACAATCCAATATGTTTTCCGTACCACCACGCAGCTCTATCTACACGAGTTAGAGTCTGCATGTCTCATTATTACAACTGTGTACCAGTCCTATATTAATATCTATTTCCTGGACAATATAGCAATTACTATAATGTATCCCGAGAGTGTGCGGCTCAAATCTCCCATGGCTTAGATCAATCATATTGCATGAGTAGGGAAATCGCAGAAGAAATGTGTAAACTTTAAGACTAAATCGATACCACAAGCCCACAAATGTTGAGTTCCTTTATTTAAATATATAACATTGCTTTTTTTATATTGCACAAAATCCACTAAATTCTTGTTTAATGCTCTTTACGAAACCAAGAAAAATAGGATTCTTAACAACTGGTAATACCATACACAGCTTGAAATACATTTACGCATACCATCACTGCAATACTATAATCCCTTCTTCATCTATCCCATCAGACATGCAATACTTTATTTTCATTACTTGTTCACTACCCAAGCGTGTAACTATAGAAGCTAAATATACAATAGGTATTCGAAAATATTTCACAACACAATTGTTTGAGGAGGTAATTTGGGGGAAGTTCCCACCCCACAATGGCTCCCATCAAAAACAAGTTAAGCAAGGACCTTAGTCAACAATATATTGTCCGCCATTCCTGCTTGTACATACCAGGGACCTGATAGACAATCAAGTCCCTGTACATACTAAACTGCTGGCATATTATTGCTTTGAATATGCTGGAAGAGGAAGCTCTAGCGAGAAAATAAACCGTTGGTTGTTTTTTCCTCCTCTATTCATGCAAGAAGCCCCAAAGTTAAATATTCCCCTTTCGATTAGACATCTAAAATAGAAGAATTACGTATGCTTGCATACTGTGTTAGCCTGTATCATGTTCATGGTACATGGTCAACATATCTAATCAAACAGTAATATGTGTTAGCGTTTGAAGCCAATCGCATAGCCTACTACACGAATCGACTAAGATCTGATTTTTCGAGGAAATTGCTTCTCATTCGAGACAGAAATTCAAACAAGCATTTCTTCCTGATGTGGGTTCTGAATAATGATGTTAATACTAAGAATCTT